TATCTATTAGCAAACTAAGCATGCGCGCACAGACATAATCATGCAATAAAATTTAAATATATTCTTATCCGGTGCTCAGTAAGGATAAAAATACCAAATAAATACATCATAAAACTATAAAAATTTATTCCATAAGGGAAAATGATAAATATAAAAACTGTGAATACCTATTCGAAATAAAAACGTTTAAAATAATAGCACATACTTATTCTACAATATAATTGATTTTTAAAAATTTCAAAATGTGACTTATAAGACTTCTATACTTCATCTTTCTCATTGACAGTCACCTGGACATATAGAGATGACCCCGGTCAATGACTACCCGCGAGAGACCACCGACAATGATCACTATCAGTGAAACCTAATGTCCAACTTTAGTCGTGTAATACTCCCAAATTTTGAGTTGGAATTAAAATAACTACGTACTATTTTATCTTTTGGAGGGCGTTTAAAGAGCATAATTAAGTTTGGTGAAGTGCTTAATTGGGATCAAGACCTGGTCTGTTTGGGGAAGAATCAATGTGAAAAATTGAGTTTCAAAGAATCTGAGAGTCGTGCACGTCGTGCATACAAGGGGATGTGATAGTAGGGTTGCAGCTCTGATGGCATAGTTGGTTCACAAGGCATGCATACCACAATGCCCAAAATTTCAGTCACAGATATTCACTCGTATTTTCGGCCTAGTTTGGCCCAAATTCGATGTGTCAACATCCAACAGAAATGTTCCACTATCATGCTCTTTCAGAATTCCAGGCGATGTTTCTCTCATAGCACCGCTGCCTTGCCTTTTTTTATCCCTTACCAGCAACCTCCATATTGACTTCGACTTCCACCACGTATGGAGATTCATCACCCTTTTCTTCCTTGATTCTCCTTCCACCAAAACTCTGGCATGATCTTGCTCTTCTGAGGCACCCGATTCAAACACCAGATCACTACACTCTTCCACCTCAATTGGCATTCTCTCCATTAATGGTCAAAACAAAATAAATGCTAAATTCGAGACAGAGAAAAGAGGAGCAGCGAAACACACGACCAAAGCACACATTCACACTTGGAACGAACCAAACCCACGGCCAGAGAAAACACATCCGGACAAACATAGTGAGAAGGAATCTGATATGTGGACGGTTACGAAGAACCTGGGCAAAGGTGCTTCAAAGTTGCATAATGCTGACAGAGAAGATAAGGCACCCCTGTAGATCTAGCCGTATGGTCACTTGCTCTTTAGATTTGGTTAATCGAAAGAGAAGAAACATCCACTTGATGCCGCCGTATGGATACTAGGGCTTACATCCTTGAAAATCAAAGTTGTACGAAAAAAGCATGTGATTGGCTTATTTTAAGATTATGCTCACACAACTAAGTTTCAGCTCCATCAAAATTATACTGAAGAGATTGTCAATAAGAGTCGGGGACGATCTTTAGAATAGGTGGTAAGGAGGTAGTGTTTTTATGTCATTTTATTTTTTATCCTTGAAAAATGAGTGTTTAAAGTTTTTCTAAAATTATAGGGGCAGTCAATTGTGAGTGAATTTGTCAATAAGAGTTAAAAAGAATTCAATTGAATATAAATACAACTTTCAAAGTTAGTCGAAATCCATATGGCATGGTGGGTTAGAGTTGTCATTTTTTTAACCAATAAACTCACGAGTTTGGTGGTTTCGTGGATTAACATGCAGGTTGTGATTTGCCCAAGTACAAACATCTACTTTTGACTTTCATTGTCTTCAATACTAATCATTTGAAAAATAAATTATTTGCTGTTATATACTTATGAATTTAATTACAACCTTTGTTAGACTATTATTTCTATAATAACTATTCAAATAAATCAAATTACTCTAGCATATTTTTATGTTATACATAGTAATTGAAAATATTTTATTAATAAATAGTAGACTTTAATTACAAATATTTTCTCAAAAGATCTAATTGTATCTTTATATTTTTACAATGCTAGATACCATTTAATAGTTATCAAATTGTAGTATAACAGTGATTTAATTATATTTTTAATTAAAGTTATCAAGTGTTGTGTGCTTAGTATTTTGATTTCTTATATTTCATTTTATTACTATTTACCTATATACGAAGTATATAATATTGGAATACAAAAGAATGGAGTTTTGAAGGTGAATAATTTTTCCTTCATGTTAGTGTTGACACATGTCATTTTCCTACAAAGGATGTTGCCACATGTCAATAACATCTCCAAAGAGGTCTCTACTGGTTTGCTTTATTATATTATATTATATTTAGATGTGAATTTGATGACAATTAATATATCTACAAAGTTGTTCACAAATAAGCTCACATTTTTTTATTATTATTTAATAAACGCATCTTCCACAAACATTTTGGCCAACATACACATGTTTAAGCCATATTTTCACCCGTACAATCCACGGGTGAAAATTTTAGTACACTTTCATAATGTAGTTGCGAGTAAAATTAATTTTTGGGAGTGACATTTGAGAAGGTCTAAATTAAAGTTATCTCTCATGGGAGATTTAAAAAATTGTCAAGTTCTAAACAAAAAGCACTCTTTCACTTTAATTGTCTTTTCACTTTTTTTTTTTGAAAAGTCAGAAAAAATTCTCTCATTTCATGTCAAGGAGCGTGTTTTTTCAGGGAAAAACTTAAGTTTCAGTAATCAAATCATTGTCAAGAACAAATAAAATAATGGGCGGATGAACATAAAACCAAGAATGCAAATTGGACAAAAAAGAAACAACTTTAGCAATAATGTGAGTTGTGTTGTTCACCTGTTAGAAAATGAGATGCTAGAAAATTCTCCGGGAATGATTTGTTATTTGTGTGATTAACAAAGTCTTTCACTTTATCGCAGTGGCGGAGCCAGGAATGTCAAGTTACAGGGGCCGTGTCTTAAGGAATTTATATAGCCGGGGCCAATACTTAAATTTTCACTATATTTTTTACTACTTATGAATATTTATACATATGTATATACATCACAAATTTTTTCTTGCAGGGGCCACGGCCACCGCCAGCCACCCCCTGTCTCCACCCCTGCTTTATCGTATAATATACCAATCACACATTTTCTTCAAACTAAGAAGAATTTTTTACACCAAGTACCTGGTGATTTGATGACATTAATGTCACACTTTCAAAGAGAATGTCACATGTTTGAATCTCATTTAAGTTCAAGGATGTAGGGCTTAATAAAACATATAGTATAATAGATTAAAAGAATTTGACAAAAAAAATATTTTTTTACAAGGAATCTAATAATTATCAAGTCAAATAATTTTGGGAAAATGTAAACTAATAATCCAACCTTTTAGCGGTCTTCTTACAATAGTCCCACCTTTTCGTTATTCATGAATAATCCAACCTTTGCACATCATCTTCATTCACTGGTCCCTGATCGGTTGATGACCTCCTATTCCAAGTTATTTTATTATCTTTGCAAATCATTATACCATAAATCTCACCTTTTACAAAGATAATATTTTGCAAAGATAAGAAAATAACTTGGAATAGCAAGTCATTAATCGATCAGGGACCAGCGAATGAAGATGGGGTGCAAAGGTTGGATTATTCTTGAATAACGAAAAGGTGAGACTATTATAAGAAGATCGCTAAAAGGTTGGATTATTAGTTTCCATTTTCCCAATAATTTTTTAATACATGTCAATTGTCGCATGAAATTGACATTATGCACCCTAAAAATGACTTTGTGGATACTACATTGGGAGCCGTTGGATTGTGACATTTGGAAAGACAAAATAAATACAAAAAAATACAATTTGTACATGTCGAGTGCCGACTTACATGCCAATTTACACGCCCGTTTATACACTAAATATATTTTGTATGTGCATAGACAATTGAATTTTTATCATAATAAAGAAAATTGTTTGTGACTCCGAACTATCTACAAAGAGACATAATGTAAAATTCTTTAGCCTTTGAGCGACAAAATAGCTCTTCCAAATGCCAAGCTCTCCGCCACTTTATGCGGCTTAGGGTTTAGGCAGACAACTCCGCCATGGAGATAAAGACCGCGGCGATCGATATTTCCCCGGTCGAAGAGGAGAAGGAGGACTGCATCGCCCTGGATTCGCATCCTGTCTAGGGTTTCACCGCTAGAGTTTTATTTGTCCGCTATCGTCTTTTGGCGAGGAGCGGTGCCGTCTTCTGGCAATTCGTTCGTGGATAGGGAGATTCGGCTGGAGGCGACTCAAGGGTCGATCAAGGCGATGAAGGAAGAAGATGAAGTGAACGTGATCCGACCCCCTCCTGAACCGCCGTCGGTGGTTCTTGGAAGGCTGAGTGATGAAATTTATTTTTTGCTTTTATTTATTTTAATGTTATGAATTTGTCTGTGTTTGTTTTTTGTTTTATCTCTTTCGATTGTAAGACTGTGGTTTTAGATTTGGGTGTGGGAGTCTGGGAGATGGAATGACCTCATTAACCGTCTTTGGCTCATTTGTCCCCATTAATGAATCGGCGAGTTATATTGATGAGGCGATAAACTCTGAGTCTGCACTGGTTCGAGGGACGGCGGTTGTCAGGAGTTGTTTTGTCGGATTACCTACTAGCTAAATGATGCACCTCTTTCGATTGTAAGCCAAATTGGCAAACGATTTACTTGATTAATGGAGTTGTTGATTTCGATGATTAAAAAAACTATCTACGAACAGACAATTTACTTTTTCGGGATCACAAACAATTTCTTTTACTAAAACGAGAATTAATTATCCTGTGTATTAGGTGTATAGATAAAATACACTTGACGTGATACAAGCAGCATTTTTAAAATGAATAAAAGTGGAATAAGTAAATCAAAGTGGATAATAAATAAAACAAAAATCCTTTCCAAAAAAAAATGAACGTGATGCATTTTCAAAATGAAGGTGTTGTCGTTGAGGGGTTTGTGCAGTAAATACCGTTCAAGTCGTTTGTCATCTTGTGTTGCTGCAATACGTGCTCTACACGTATAACTCTACCACTTCTCGATTTCCTCCCTACTGCAAAACCACCCCCATCCCTCTACAATTAGGGCTAGCTAATCCTCATCCAGCTTATATAGTTATCACTCACAATCCGTCTTTCGCCTACATTTTGTTCTCTGATCGAATCTCCTGTTACAAGCGAAGCAGCCAGTTCTCTCACTCGATCGGAAGCTATGGTGGTGAAGGTGAATAAGGCTGAGAAGAAGATAGCTTATGACTCCAAGATCTGCAAGCTTCTGGATACGTACTCCCAGATTCTCGTCGTCTCCGTCGACAATGTCGGCTCCAAGCAGATCCAGGACATACGCGCCGGCCTCCGTGGCGATTCGGTCATTCTCATGGGTAAGAACACCCTGATGAAGCGCTCCATCCGCGTTCACGCCGAGAAGACCGGCAACTCTGCCATTCTCGCCCTCGTTCCTCATCTCGTCGTCAGTCCTCTCTCTCTCTAAATTTCTCTCACTACCTTCAAGTGTAAACTGCTACAACTTCAATTTCATCTCATTTTCATCGTTTTTTGAAATGTTTTACAATAAATCTGACAATGATTAGCATGTTTATAAAACAGAACAATGTGGGGTTGATCTTCACTAAAGGAGATCTGAAAGAAGTAAGCGATGAAGTTTCCAAATACAAGGTAAGTATGACGACTTAAACTCCCTACGTTCGATCTCAGATAATTATCATTTCTATTATTACCATTATTGGAATATTATTGTTATTAGGTACTACTTGGATTAAATTACTAATTATGTTAAACCCTGGATGATTATACAATATGAACCTCTGCTGCCGCATAACGATCCGGCCAGATCGCTTTTTCTTTTGTCAAATTGACTGGATGTGTGATGCATATATGACGGCGAGTCGGCGACGATAATTTGGTTTAATTTGTACTGCAGGTTGGGGCACCGGCAAGGGTTGGTCTGGTTGCTCCGTGTGATGTGGTGGTTCAACCGGGAAGCACCGGACTTGATCCTTCCAATACCAGTTTCTTTCAGGTCAATAATGTTTATTTGTATCTTTAATTTCCATGCAGATGATATTACAATCTGATTCTTAAATGAAGTAAAGAGTAGCATTTATTCCCGTCTTCCCAAAATAATTTGGCATGCATATAAGTAAGTGAGAATAAAGTAGATATGTATTGTCGTAGTTGTGTAAGAAAAAAATAATTAAATGTGTGCCACACAAAATTTCCAAAAATGATAAATGAGAAAAAAATTGGCACAATCCAAAATGAAAAGTTGGAAGAATTTTATGAGACGGAGGGAGTAATATACTCGTCCCTCCGTCCCGAAAAGGTTAATCAAATTTACTTTTCTTAATCAATGATAATCAACTTTGACCAATGATAGATAGTACTTTTTAATACAAAACTATTTTGAATATGAAAATTATATCAAAATGTTCCTTTTTCAAAGTATTTTTATAAAAGTATAAAATTTATAAGTTATATACAAATATAATAATTAAAATCATTGTTCAAAGTTTGCGATCACCTTCTCTATTTTGCAAAATATAAGTACATAGTTTGCAAAATTATTCATATTTTCAAAATTTATTAATATTACGCTATTCACCTGCTCTATTTTGATTACATTGTACTCCATTTGTCCCTCAAAACTTTGTCAAGTTCAACTGACATGGAAAATAATAAAGTACAAATTGTGTGGTTAAGATTTGTGTAGCTGTAAGAAATAAAACGAAACCACAAATTCATTCATTAAAAGGGAAAATGACAAAGTTTTTTGGATAACCAAAAAAGGAAAGATGATAAATTTTTAAAGGACGGATGGATTTACTTGTTTTTTAAGAAAAGAGGAATTTTATAGATAAAAGAAGAAAAATACAATGCGAAAAGGGAAAGAAAAAAAGGAAAAACAATAAAGGAGAAAAAAGGTGAAAGCTAAAAATAGAGCTAGTCTCAAGGAAAGTTTCTGGATTGAGATCTTGTTTTCATGTCGTGGCGCTTTTTGACTTATTATTGTGTGAAAATTATTACTACCTCTGTCCCAAAAAGGTACGCCAAATTGATTTTTTTAAATGATAATCAACTTTGACCTGATATTTTATACTAATATAAAATTCGATCTTATGAATATGAAAATTAAAAATTATATCAAAATGTTGCCTTTTCTCATAAATATATTAACAAAATTGAACCGAATACATTTCAGGTTTTGCCATGCACGAGTAAGACAATAAGATAAAGTGTGTTTTAACTTTTAAGAAATTGATTAATAATTAAGAGTAATTTATTAGGATTTCGGAACTAAGCAACCATTAACTATTCAGTTTTTAAATTCAGCCCGTAATAAGCAAAAGTGGATGAAGAATATACGGATTACAACGGGAAAAATTCCTAAATATGTGTAAATATGTTGAAAATTTAAAAAATATGATTGTTGTATTATTATCTAAACATGCGTAATTACTATCAAATTTGAAAAGTAGTGTTGTTTATAAAGTTAGTATAACCAAAACGTGATAGTGATTATTCATATTTAAAAAATAAAAACATAAAAATTCTATTTTGAAAAACACAAATGGAAATTTAATTGCACAAATAGGACTAAAAACCAAATTATTCACAAATAGGACTAAACATTAATAGCTCGTTTGGTGACTCTGTTTTTCGGCTTATCAGCCAACTTTTTAACCAAACACGTAACTTTCCATTCCCCACGCTGAATTGTATAATAAGAAGAAAAAGTAAGGTATGCATTATTTTTCTGGCGGTTTTGGCTGAGGTTAGTGTAGATGACAATTTTGACAATTTTTTCAGATAATTTTTCTATATTTTATTAATAAAATATTTTTAAAATATAATTTATTCATAAATCAGCAGAATAAACCAATACAGTCACTTTAGTCAGAATTTCAGAAATTTCAATAGAATCAGCCGATTATGCCGATTTCGATGTTACCAAACGGGCTCGATTTTTCTACCTTTATTACCCATGCGGGTATTAATTTATAATAAAATGGTAACAAAGTAATAAAATTTCAAACAAAATAATAAAAAATTAATATAATATTTAAAAAAATAAAAATTTAATAAAATCCGTCAGACCAAAATAAAAATTTAAAAAAAATGGCTAGTGGATTCTTATAATTCCAACTAATTAAAAACAATGGCATTTGGAAATGTGGGTCTTAATTAGTGGGTGCATGTTTTGTTTTGTTTCTTTGGTTGCTTTTTAGCCATTATATTTCGATATCAGGCTTCCAACCATTAAAGTTATTGCTTTAAAAAAAAAATATCAGTTCCTCCATTCGGAAGATGCAATTCCGAATCCCAGTTTTCATACAGCCTCACTTCATTCGGAAAGCCACCTTCCGAATCCCGTGTTTTCATACCCTAATGGGAACTCCCGTGTTTTGGCATGGCTTGTTGGAAACTCCCGTGGTTTCGTCATTTCCTCGGTATATGTATATGTATGTAATGTAAATTAAAATGGCGGGCAATGCAGGTGTTGAACATCGCAACAAAGATCAACAAAGGTACGGTGGAAATCATAACCCCAGTGGATCTAATCAAGAAGGGGGATAAGGTGGGATCATCCGAGTCAGCTCTTCTCGCAAAGCTGGGCATCAAGCCGTTCTCTTACGGACTGGTGGTGGAGCATGTGTATGAGAATGGGTCTGTGTTCAGCCCGGCGGTTCTTGAGCTGACCGAAGATGATCTGGTCCAGCGGTTTGCTGCCGGGTTGACCAATGTCATCTCCGTCTCTCTTGCTCTTTCCTACCCAACGCTTGCCGCTCTCCCTCACGTTCTCATCAATGCCTACAAGAACATCCTCTCCGTTGCAATTGCCACGGACTACTCTTTCCCAGAAGCTGACAAGATCAAAGAGTACCTAAAGGTTAGCCGATACTTTTGGCTCACTCATCCATCTTTACTTCTACTAGTTTTTTCACCCGTGCGTTGGACGGAGTGAATTTTGATGATTAACAAATTCTCTCATCTCCTAAATAATTATTTTTGGCTAAAGAGTTGAATAGGTCCTTGTAACGATCGTGTTTGCTTATTTCGGTCCCTGAACTAAAAAAGATCCAATTTTCACCCTGAACCGACAAAAAATAGTTCAAATTTCCGGTTTTTATGGATGAACACCTGATCACCTGGCATGTCACCAGTAAACCAATGATGTGGATATGTAAAGTTCAAATAAGTACTTGAACCCATCAAAGTTGTTCAAATCACCTCACCCCTAATATGAATATGGTAACTGAAAATTTAACAAAAAGAGTAAATGATATGAAAGCATATCCATTATGTTCCGCAACCTTGCATTCTGAATAAAAGACAATTTAGATGCATTAATATTAGCATATCAGTTCAAAGATATGGAAATAATATGCTTTAGAATAAGTGTAAGATTATAATCTTTAGATATAAGAGATTAAAATTATAATTGAAATTTTGTAGGAATAACGATACAGTTCTGAATGAGACCAACCCTAACAATCCAAGGTTGTCTAAGTGACTCGCTGTAAATATAAATAGTTCATTTCAGGAAATATGATATGTGATGGATAGTCTACCCGGGGGGTATCTTATCCGAGGGGTTATTGCAGGAATAACTAGAGAGAAGTCAGAGCAAAATAGGAGGAGAGAGAGTTGATTTATTAAATGAACTCAGCGTGGAGTTGAGATGTAGATTGTGTCGATTACAAGGAGAAATGGGCTGCTATTTATAGCAGCAATAAATGCGATGGGAGGACACGTGTCAGTAATCCAACGGCCGAAGGGTCACATCAGCCTAGTGGCACCGGCAGGGGTACGTCAACCGCATTGAATGCGGTTGGCGGATGTGACGTGGCATTAAATGCGGTGGTTGGCTGTCTCTAAAAGGAATCTTCGATGATTGAGCTTGTTCAGCCGAAGGCTCCCGGTGTAGCCGAGGGCTCCCTGTGTAGCCGAGGGCTCATTGCGTAGCCGAGGGCCCCTTGTGTGGCCGAGGGCTTGGTTCAGCCGAAGGCTTCCCCTGGTGCCGAGGGCATGGGAATGCCGAAGGCTCATGTCTTCGCCCGTTTTCTCCCAGCAGCTTCTTATGCCAGAAAAGGCTATCCTGTGAGTTTCGGAGCCTTCGGCCAAGGGGGCCGAAGGCACCCCAGTGTGTATTCTGGGCTACTTTGAAGCTTGGGCCGTTGTATTTGGGCCTGAGATGTCCCCTGGGCTCAATGGATTCGTGTAGGAGAAGTAGGAGTCTATGGGCCGGGGGTTCCTGGGCCATATACTCCATCAATATGATTAATGATTATTTATGTAATGCTCCATCAATCAAATGGGAATACATAATCATATATATGAGTTCAGATAAACCTTTTGAGTTCAATTTCAATTTCCACCTTATCAATTGCTAATCTTTTTAGTCTTGGGAATGTTAGTCTCATAGGAATACACAATATCCGATATAAATCAGGTATAAAACAAAACAAATGAAAGAGAAACTGAAGAGTAATATCCAAGAATGTATGATGGGGTTATTTGGACAAATACATGATAAAATCAATGAATATAATTTTTACATAAATCTCAATGAATGCCATTGCGGCATATTTACACAAACCAAAAACTCAAAGTGATGGAGACTTACCTGAAATTCAAAGAAGTTAAAGGTATAGATATGTTGGCAGAGATGATTTCGGCCAAGAAGAAGTGAAGAACAAACTAAAAGCTAGCAGTCAAATCTGTAATCGACTGGATTTCGGCCAAGGAAAACAAATGGAAAGGTAGGGAATCTGAAACCGGCTTGATATTTCGGGTGTTAACTGATTGGTAGTAGGTTCAAGCCAAAGGTGAACGAATCTGAAGTTGTTGATGATGTCTCAACATTTGCTGAGGCTAGTCTAATTTGAGAAGAAGAATTCATCGATCTAGCGAGGATGCGAATAAAGGGAATTTGAGGAGGAGCGATTTTAGACGTACAGGAGTCGAAAGAGAAATAAAGCTGAAGGCGGAAGCCGTAGATTGACCGTAGTAAAATCGAACGGATAATAGAAGGTGTTGGGATGAGCGGGAACTTTAAGAAGAGGATTGTAGTGCTATTAAGGAGAGGATTAGTTGGTCTACTCTCAAGCGAGGGCTTTTACGTTTTTTTCCGAGTAAATTTATACTCGTACGTGGTATGAGTGAAAGTTAAGAATTTTACTCGCGCGTCAAATCTCAAATTAGTATATACGTACTCCGTAGCACTCCTATGTGATACTACTTCCGTCCCAAAAAATTCACCATATTTGACTTTCCTTGGTTAATGATGACTAAATTTGGACAATGATTTTAATTATTATATTTGTATATAATGTATAAATTTTATACTTTTATAAAAATATTTTGAATAAAGAACATTTTGATATAATTTCATATTTAAAATGACTTCGTATTAAAAATACCATTGATCAAAGTTAATTGCCTTTGACCAAGAAAAGTAATTTGACAAACCTTTTCGGAACGGATGAAGTACTTTTTTCATAGAAATTGAGAAAGTGAAACAAGCTCTCGTATTTACCCTCTTAAGAAACTTAGGGGGGTGTATTCAATATGGATTGTTGTGGACTTTTTTTAATCCATGGACTTTTAAAAAAGTCAATAGAGTTTTAAATCCATAGACTTTTTTATGAATGAATTCTATGGACTTTTAAATCCATGGATAAGTTTATTGACTTTCAAAAAGTCCATAGACTTTTAAATGCGGACCAATATTGTCGTCAAAATTTTTACCTAGATTGTCGCTACCAATATGCCTGTGACCTGTCCGCATCCATCACCGGAGTTCCCCGCTGTCGTCATCGGAATGACGTGTCACCAACAAAATGACTTTGGTTGTGAAAGGGAATTAGGGACAATTAATTATATTAATTAATTAATTAAATTAGGGGTGAATATGTAATATTTATTCCCATTTAAGAAAAACCAAACATTTAATCATACTTTAAGAATAATGCTATGTTTTAGTCCTACCGTGAGTGATTTCCTCTATATAATACGGAGTACGATAAGGTGTGGCTTGGCTAAAGAAGAGTAGAGTTGGGGGGGGGGGGGGGGGGAGTAGGCTTGGCCTGAGGCCGGTCTGACTGGCCAGGGACCCGGCCCGGCCCGCCACTGTGCGGGTCCGACCCGGCCCGGCCCGCCACTGTGCGGGTCCGACCCGGCCCGTTGGATCGGTATCGATACCGCCCAACCCGGGGGATTAATTGGGGCGGTTCCGGAACTGCATATTTGAGGACCAGCCCGGCCGGTTCGGGCCCGGTCCGGGCCTTATTTGTTTTCTTTTTATTTTTTATTTTTTAGGGGGTGGGTGGGCCTATGGTAGGTAGGTTGGGTGTTTTGGAGGGGTTTGGGGGGTGAGAGTTGGAATATATTAGAAAACCGAAAAAAATGAACCAGCCCGGCCCAACCCGGAACTGACCCGACCCGATACCAGTAGACTCTCGGCCTGGTCCCGGGCCTTACCTAAAAAATTCCATGCCCGGCCGGGCCCGACTCGGAACAGAAACCGGGTCTGGCCCGGTCCATCCCTAGGAGGGAGGGGAGGAATGGGGTGGGACAGGATGAAGAACCAATATAAGAAAAGTCCACGGAAATCTTTGGTGAGGAGAAGAGACAATTGCATAGAATTTTTGCACTAAAAATGAGTTAAAAGTCCACGAGAATCCATGATTTTAGAAGTCAATAAGAATGAACGGAAATTTGAATACGCCTAGACTTTTATAGACTTTTAAAAGTCCGCATTGAATACACCTAGACTTTTGTGGACTTTTAAAAGTCCACATTGAATACACCTAAACTTTTAAAATCCATGGACTTTTAAAATTTTGCCACTAAATCCTAATACAATACACCCCCCTTAATCTGTTAAAGCCTTCCAATTCTAATTAATTAAACCAAAGAGTAAGGTTGAAACTGACATTTCACATAAGAACTTTGTCAAAGTAGGTAATTGTACTATCAATTGGAGAAGTTCAAAAGGGAAATTGGTATGTGCTCCGGATCAAATATCAATTGAGTTAGGGGTGGTCCATCGGTTCGGTGGTATCAGTTCAGTTTGAGTTGGTTTTTGTTTTTAGTCGGTTGGTTTTAGTGACTTTCAGAATAGGTGAAATTGAGAATCGGACAAGAAAAATTGAGTCGGTTTCTGTTGGTTTGTATCGGATTTGGTCAATTTTACATGCTTTGGTCAGGTTTTGTGGCCGGTTTTGGTTTGGGAGGGGTTTTAACCCAAATGTATAAACCCTAAACCGAATCGCCAACAAATTAGTCAATTTCAATCGATTTTGGTCAGTTTCAATTTCATTCGTTTTGATTTCGGTCAGTTTTGATTTTCACTTTTTTGTTCATGCCTTAATTGAGTCATAAATAATACTAGTACTATGTACGTTTTTGTGATTAAATACGGATCTGTTTATTAAGTACTAAAATACTACTACCGCTATTTTCTTCTAGGTGCCCCAAATATATACGTAGTAATTTTTTGTATAAGCATTTTAGATCTTGTTCAATTCCATTTTAGTTTAACAATTACTCCGTATTACCCTATATTTTCCATTTTCTTACAATTCTTTTTTAATTTTTATCATTAGCTTGCTTTATTCAATTTTCTATAGAATTCTTATATCTCCCATTATTTTGTCTTTAACTATGTAAAAAATCTACCATAGACGTGCAACTAAAAACATTAATGACTATGTTTCTATAAGACTTTTTGGATGAAAATATGGAATGTTGAGAGAGGATTTGGTTTCTATTTGACACACATGTGTTTTCTGTTGTAAAGGTTGATTTGTTTGAATGGAATATCTGCAGGGAAAACATTTGTTTCTATTTGATAAAATCAAAACGATCCCATCCCTCAATTTTCCCTCTTTTTTAAATTTCTTCTCAATTTGATTTGACACATTATTAGAATATAGAATTGTGTGATTCAAGTTTATTACGTAGTACGTAGTACTTGGTATAAAAGAAAGAAACCATATCAAAATTGTAATTCTCACTTTACAAAAAACGTAATTCTTACCCTAAGTTCACAAGGCGCCAATTTCAGAAAAACTCAAAAAAATGAGAAGAGAAATGTTGAAGAACTAAGAGTCTAAGAATCTAAGTCCTTTTAAACATATATCACAATACGTAGCACTCCAAAACCTCTACAAAACACGCTCTTAAGCTTAAGGTTGTTTCTAATTTGCAGGATCCGAGCAAATTTGCTGCTGCAGCCCCAGTAAAAGCTGCTGCTGCTGGCGGTGAATTTTCAACTGCTACGGCCGAAGAGGAGAAGAAAGAAGAATTTGAGGAATCCGAAGAGGAAGGTGGCCTTAGTGGATTGTTTGACTGATGATGAGATCCCAATGAGAAACATTTTGTCATTTTGTTTGCTATTAGGATTGCATACAAGGATCCTCTATGATGTTGGTTTAGTTCCAAATTAAAACAAGTCGTTATCTACCTAGGACGAGCAAAAAAAAATATTGAACTCACTTCCTTTTCCTGATCCTAGATGATTTTTAACATACATTACTATTCCTCGAATAGTATTTGTATTCTGATTATGTTAAGGAGAGTATGGTTCTCAATCCAACTGTTGACACTTGTTTGCTAGCTAGCTACAAGGAATTCAGGATCAATGAACACGTTTTTCGGGTTAGGTTCAATACAATTATGTGGTTAACCAGCTTTAGGATGAGCCCAAAAAAACTCAATTCCCTTTGTGGTTTACCGAGGGTTGTTATTATAATATAAAATAACTTGCTGCAATTGATCTAGTAACTTGCATAATCTGATAAACAAAAGTAACTTTTCAGTTTTTAAATTGAATGGATAAATTACGAACACTTTTGTTGTAATACTATCATCGTTATTATGCCAAGGGCATGGAATACTATGCTTCCTTGACCATTTGAGGACTTTCTATAATAGTATTGCAACAACATATACGGAGTAATAAATAGATTTAGTCAAATCCTCTATACTTGATCTATGCACCTAACCTATATTCCTTCGTTAGCAACTCATTCGTTAGCAGAAGTATAAGATCCCGCCCAAATTTCATCTTGGCAATTCCGTGGTCATTGAAGACAGTTACGAAAAAAGCGAACTCCCTGTTCAAGCAAAAACTGTTCAGCAAGCCGAGCCTCCAAACATATACAAAACCACAAAAAAATGCTTACCTGCAATGCAAAAGTGATGTCTGCTTCATCAACCATCAAAGTCACTCTTCTCAATTTAGAGTCTCGAGATTGTCCTATCTTTAGGAGCCCCTGCAAATAAGTTTACCCCTAAGTTTCTAGTTCCTTCCTATTTTTTCGTCAATCTGAGAAAATTAAGACACTTTTGTCTTTTAAAGACTCTTTTAAAGACTTTACCTGGTCAGCAAGCACTCTGCACATACTTGAAAGTTCCATAATACCAATAGCTGGAATTGAAGTTGATTTACAGACATCCATGTAGTGCTTGCTCAACTGCAACGTACACACCATATGCATGAGAATTTATTACATCCCAGATAAAAATAATGCTTGAATTAATATTAATGAACTATTTTTACCTCGCCTATTGTTGAATCCTTCTTTCCCCAACGAAACAGCTTTACAGCAGAACAAAGGATGATCTGTCACAAAAGGCCAGTTAAGTGATACATACCCAAATGCTAATAAGAATGCCAGAGTGTAAAGTAAAATACCTGTTGATGTTGGGGAAGAGACTGAATGGTGTCTACTGCGGGGGATTTGTATGCATTTGATAACGCCCTAGCAACATGCTCAACCCTCACCTAAACAAGTTGATGCAATAGTAAGATCAAAAGCCCAAATTGGAATCAAATTTGCAATAATGAACCTCAAGTGACTTACGATATTGTTATCTGGCATCCTCAGAGAAACAGAAGGGGGATTACAAACTTCTGTCTCAATCATAGACAAACTTGGGCTGTTGGTGGAGTTTCTAATCTCAGCTTCTAACACCTCAATTGCACTCCTAGAAATCCAGTAGAAACAAGAAAAATATTTATGGTTAGTTAAAATACACTTGAAAAAATCAGAGCTGATGTTTAATATGATTAAGCACGGGGTATAGAAATAATAGAATATGTTATTTTCACTTGAGTAGCAATAAAGTTGCAGATACGAAAATTGAAAAACATGTCACAAACCTGCAAATTGAAAGCGCTTTCCTCATATCTCCAGATGCAGTTGCAATTTTCTGTTATTCATTATGATGGAATGCATTTTGTCAAATCAAAGTTGCAATGCAAATCAAATTCCAGATTAAGAAATTGGGAAAGAATTGTGTGTGCACTATGAGAACATATGCTACTAATCCTACCTTTGCACATAGCTCCAGTGCTTGATGCTGGAAGATTGTGTACGGAAGTGCCTGTGGAAGGAAACATGCAAATGTATAAATAGCTCAGAAAATATCACCAATATGGCGCCTTATATACTAAAATTGAATTGGGACAAGGAAAAGAAGTATGTGGTAGTTACTGCTAATCTTTGTTGAAGAATCATGATGATCTGGTGCTTGGAGTATGCACGAAATGTTATAACTATCGGCTTGCCTGGGAAAAATGGCAGGACATATATTAGCACTTCACAGTGACTTTTGTTTATATATTTTTATGGAATGTATATTATTATATATCGTGATTTAATAAAATATTGAAGCTTAAAGTAATAAATATCACTCAAAAGTATTTACTTACAGTTCAAAGCCTGAAGTTTGGGAAGGAATCTATCAGCAAGGTCAATAGCATTAGCGATTCCTGATAAGGAGAGGCCAAATAGTGGTCAGTCTTGGAAAACTCCACTCAATATTATCAGCATCAAAACTAGAAATAAGCACATGTTCAAAAGAAAGACAAAAGGAACATTTCATACCTAATATAATACAACGAGAGAAAGGAAATGTTGTTAGCATAAAGAGATCGTGAAGTACAGCTCGGTCTTTGGTGATTAAATAATCCAACTCATCAGCAACTATTAACCTATTAGCAAATCACAATTACTCCATTATTATTAAAGAGGAAATACTACACGGAGTAAAATTTTCACAAGTTGCAAGAAAACCAAATAGAAAACACTAGAGTACGAGAATACATGAATTCGCCTTACATCATGGCGGTACCAGCTTGCTGCTTCACTGAGAACAATTTCTGGAGAAGCTGCAGTGGTGTAGTCAAACCACTAGGCTTCTTCTTAGGGTGAACCCTTTCAAGTATCTGTATAAGATAAGCAAAATGTAAGAAAAATTGTGCTTGCTCCAGCCTGCAACCAATTGTTTTCTATTAACAAACCTTGTTGAAAATTTCTGAAGTCTTTGTCAAAGAAGTACAGTTGATGGACAATACATCTGGTTGTTGAACATCCCCCTGAAGGTAATCAATATGTTTTCCATGGTTTAGATTTGAATGGTAGTCTGAGCAAAGTACTAATAAATCAATGATAATTTGCATCAAATGCTGTTTTAACCATTTCAATGTAATTTTATATGATGATTTATTGATCCTGAAGCAAATTACCTGCATACGCTAATAAATTACCCAAAGAAGTTCCCAGACAAACCATAATGTATCTGTTCGGACTCTAACAGTGAGTGTTTAAGATAGCTGCTAGCAAAAAATTAAAAATGCCAACAGCATTTAATGCATCAGTAACTCCATGTTACTGCATTACCTTCTTAGCCCATTCAATTAATTCTTCTTTGACCTTTTCCATTGAGAGTGACTTTCCAGTTCCTGGACATCCACAGACATACAAACTGCCAGCCTTTTCCTGCTGAACACATTGCTTGCAAAACTCCAGAACCTTATTTTGTTCAACATCTCGGCAAACTATGTTTGATGGAGCAGTAGATACGTGCAATGCCTTCTTCACAGCATTCAATTGCTCCATGTCTATTTTTAACAGATAAAAGCAGCGAATCAAATCAAAATTATAAAATTGAGTACCTTTGTAAATTAAATAAATATGAATATAGCAGCGTAGATCTATAAATTAAGTTCAATATGCTACGTATTGATAAAGACTGAAAATCTAATTGATTTATCTGATACAATTAAATTGAAGTACTTAACTGATTAGATAATGCCAAGTGATTTAAACTTACCTCTCGGGTTCCAGATCGGTTTGTCAGCGGAACTGTCAAACAACCTCTTTTTGACAGGAGATTTACTCAGTTTGATTGTTTTATCACAACAATCTTCCCTGACCCCCTATAATCGAGAGGAAAACCAGTCAATTAGAATCGTATAGAGGTTTCAAATCAAGGAGAGAAAACGTCCAGGTCAAATAAAGTAAATGATCATTATTACCATTGCGGGACTGCTCGGGCTATCAGCAAGGCATCGCCTAGGCGACTTCCACTTTGCTAGAGACATATCCACCGACGGGGGAGATGAACATATATAAGATTCTGTATCGAACATGCGCTTCTGAGGAGTAGAGACACGCATCTCGACATTGACAGTCACCGGATCCGCAGCTTTGATCCCGCCGGCGAGTCTGGGCGAGCGACGTGCGGCTAAAGCTGGCATCTTTGAAGATCTGGAAGGAAGTTGAGAAAATGAAGCTTTATGAGAAGAGTTGCGTTTGGAAGCATATACTCTGTAATCCATATAAGTGTTTGATGGCGTCGAGGGATGTGCGCGCGAAAGAGACGATCGTAACAGGTTTTGGCGCCATTTTCCAGTGTTATTTTCAAAACCACGTTTCCCTACGCACTTGCGGATTTTGCACTATTAATTCGAATCCGAACCGATAGAGAGGCCCAATAGGTGCAGCCCAGCCCAACTAATATGAGCCCTATAAGAAAAGGGAAATCTGTCTAAATAAGACCAAAATAATACTACGTATCATTTTCTCGAAATACGATAGTACAACTTAGGGATGGACCCGGGCCGGGCCGGTTCCGGTTCCGGGCCGGGCCCGGGCGGGCTTTTTTTCGGGTTACATGGGCCCGGAACCGGCCCGGGTTGATACCGGGTCCGGGCCTAACCGGGCCGGGCCGGGCCGGGCCCGGTTCAATGTTTTTTTTTTTTTTTTTTTTTTTATGACTTTCTTGTTATCTCCCTACCCCCCCCCCTCACCCCCACGCCCCAAACCTCCCTAAAACACCCAGCCCTACCCTAGGAAAAGAAAAAAAATTGAAAAAACCAAAAAAAAAAAAAAAAATGAACCGGGCCCGGCCCGAACCGCCCGGGCCGGTTCAACAAAAACAGGGCCCGGAACCGGCCCGCCCGACCCGCCAAAACGGGCTAAAAGCCCGGAACCGGCCAACCGGGCCCGGTCCGGTCCGGGCCCGCACAGTAGCGGGCCGGTCCGGTTCCGGGCCGGTTCGGCCCGGCCCAGTCCATCCCTAGTACAACTTAATGTGTAAAACTTCATTTTTTATATGAGGTTGGAAAAAAATATGTGCCCCGAATTATTGAACCGTCACTCAACTATCTAACGTTAGTGGTCAGAATTTCTTCCAAGGGTCGCTGTTGTTAATTTGCTTGAATCTCATTGTCATCGTCACTTTTACAGTATGACCACCACCAAAAGATTGATCTTGATTAGGTAAGATTATTAGAGGACAATTAATTAGGTTAATTAATTAATAGATTGCTTTATTTCAATGGATTG